AAGGAAAGTATTAAATAGTGTATGCTATACGATATTTAAAATTTCAAATTTATGTATCAACTAATGTCAAATGAATAACAATTTTTTATTTGTTACTCTTCGATTATTAAAATCCGACATCAATATTAATAAATCTAAATTTTAAAGTTATTCATATTTTAAAAAATCATTACAACTAAAACGATATTTTTATTTATTATAGCAGTAGTTTTTAACGCTTCACAAATTTAAAGATTAATATTTAACTCGGAGTGCAACAATAATCACTATATTAATATTTTCTATCCTTACTATTATAAATATTTTTCCGCCTATTCAAATTCTTACAGCTAGATATAGATTGTTAATACGTTCAAATATAGCCTAATTATTTCATTAGTGAAATTAAACTGTGTAAATAAACTTTGGTTATAAAAACTGATATAACGCATTAAATATGCCAATACCACAGATACGTATCGAATCAAATATAAAAATGCTTAGCAAGGTAGTAAAAAAGCATACTTTTCATTGAAAATCATTTAAAATTAAATAATTACTTTATTACAACATATAGTACATAGATTCTTTTAAGTAAGAGTTATTTATTATTATTTTATTTAATTTTTTTAAAATATAAGTAGCAAAACAAAATGCTGATTTAGTATCTTAAGACGAATATTTTTGACATAAGCGAATATCTCTAAAAATATACGTGTCAGAATTTCAGTTAAAGAAAGTCTTTTAAAATAAAAATAAAAAAATTAAAGCTACTTCGTCACATCAGACTAGAAAATGCTTAGCTATGAATTTTTTACATTTAAAATGTTATTTGAATAAATTTTTCATATTTTTTAAAAGTTTATAAGTAAGGCAAATATAATTTATTATATAGGCCTACAGATAAATAATAGTCTACATTATACTTTGTATTTTAATAATAATACTGTATATTATATAACTTATATATTAATATTTATTAATATAATTGAACAAAACAATATAAATATATTAAACATAACAAATATAATAAACTTTATAATGAAATGAATATAACTCGCGTTTCTACAGTAAATGATTTTTAAAAAATTCGAATTCAACGGCTTAATATAAAAATCAACATTAAAGCAATAAAATATTTCTAGATAAGATATTAATTATAAGATCACCTCAGAAAAATGCTAAATATATTTCAGAAATTAGAGAATTATCAAATTCGAAGTAGCAACACTTCAAAATTATACAATGTATAGATGCGTATTACATTTGATAAAAGTTTGTATTTTTTTATTAAATGTCATAAGCTAGCTGACGATGAGGTTTTCGCACTAAAATTGATACTGTCTATGTGCTTTGTGACAGGAAGTAATCGTTGGACTGCCGTGGTGAACTGTGGGTGAAATGTGTACAGTGTGTCCTGGTAGAGTGTTTGGGAGCAGAGGCAGATGAATGTACACTTGCGATTTTTGCAAATAAACATTTTCATTCCTCAATACATAAAGACGTTTAAGTAAATCAAATTATCCTATAATTTGTCCTGTTTTCTTTCTTTTTTCATAAAATTCCATTTATATTTTGGTAGTCCGAATTTGGAACACTTCCGCAAACTGTCACAGATTGATATGGTTTGCTAAATTCAAAAATGCTCTTACAAAAAATTTTTATTGCTTATAACAAAGGTAGTTCTTGAACAACTAATCAAAAATGTTTTGGCGTAAAAAAACAGATATCGTTCAAGTTTTTTATCTGGTTCATCTTATTTATGTAAATTATAAAGAAATTTCGAAAAATAAAAATTGATATACAGTACTGTAGCCTGTATGATAAGCCGTTGTTAAAAAAAATTATTTCATATTTGTAATTTGAAGAATTAATTTACAAGAGAGTTAATTAGATGGCAGATTTTTTTAAAGGCAGTCGTCTTGTTGGCCCAGTTCTTCATCCCCATTGCTGGTTTGGCCAATCTCATATTGGTTATGGGAAAAAGCCCCTCTTAATGCGGAAAGATTTTCTTAAAATAATAAGGTTAATTAAATAAATTTATTGTTTTTAGTTCTAAGGATATAATAAAATAATTTTTAAATAGTTAGTTTTAATATAAAAATTATTTAATAGTTCATTATAATACTACAACAAATTTTAAAAGTATCAGAGAAATCAATCATTTTTATAAGTTATTACAAAGTTTTGAATATATAATTTGTATAAATTTATTCAATCTGTTTAGGGGGGAAAAAACTTTGAAGGAATTAACGAGAGATTTGCGTGGTCGTAGTTTAAAAGACAATTAAATGAAAATTGGTAATAAAGGGAAACTTGCACACCTTTCACGCGATATTTATCTTCTAATTTAGCAATCAATGAAAACAAAAAAAAAATTATAAAACTTTTGGTGAAGGAAAGTATTAAATAGTGTATGCTATACGATATTTAAAATTTCAAATTTATGTATCAACTAATGTCAAATGAATAACAATTTTTTATTTGTTACTCTTCGATTATTAAAATCCGACATCAATATTAATAAATCTAAATTTTAAAGTTATTCATATTTTAAAAAATCATTACAACTAAAACGATATTTTTATTTATTATAGCAGTAGTTTTTAACGCTTCACAAATTTAAAGATTAATATTTAACTCGGAGTGCAACAATAATCACTATATTAATATTTTCTATCCTTACTATTATAAATATTTTTCCGCCTATTCAAATTCTTACAGCTAGATATAGATTGTTAATACGTTCAAATATAGCCTAATTATTTCATTAGTGAAATTAAACTGTGTAAATAAACTTTGGTTATAAAAACTGATATAACGCATTAAATATGCCAATACCACAGATACGTATCGAATCAAATATAAAAATGCTTAGCAAGGTAGTAAGAAAGCATACTTTTCATTGAAAATCATTTAAAATTAAATAATTACTTTATTACAACATATAGTACATAGATTCTTTTAAGTAAGAGTTATTTATTATTATTTTATTTAATTTTTTTAAAATATAAGTAGCAAAACAAAATGCTGATTTAGTATCTTAAGACGAATATTTTTGACATAAGCGAATATCTCTAAAAATATACGTGTCAGAATTTCAGTTAAAGAAAGTCTTTTAAAATAAAAATAAAAAAATTAAAGCTACTTCGTCACATCAGAATAGAAAATGCTTAGCTATGAATTTTTTACATTTAAAATGTTATTTGAATAAATTTTTCATATTTTTTAAAAGTTTATAAGTAAGGCAAATATAATTTATTATATAGGCCTACAGATAAATAATAGTCTACATTATACTTTGTATTTTAATAATAATACTGTATATTATATAACTTATATATTAATATTTATTAATATAATTGAACAAAACAATATAAATATATTAAACATAACAAATATAATAAACTTTATAATGAAATGAATATAACTCGCGTTTCTACAGTAAATGATTTTTAAAAAATTCGAATTCAACGGCTTAATATAAAAATCAACATTAAAGCAATAAAATATTTCTAGATAAGATATTAATTATAAGATCACCTCAGAAAAATGCTAAATATATTTCAGAAATTAGAGAATTATCAAATTCGAAGTAGCAACACTTCAAAATTATACACTGTATAGATGCGTATTACAGGTTTATGAAGAAAAACTTCATACCTACANGTTTCTTTTTCATTGTTTGTATGTGGTAGAAAAAGTGTCATGAGTAGGTTTATTTTTATTTGTGTTATGTACCTTTCGATTTTTGTCATGTGCCGTGAACCCCCTGAAAGGAGAGGAGGAAAGAAAAGGGAAGTGAAAACATGTGACGTATTATATTGTTATTAGTTGTGCATTGAAAATTGTCAATTGTGTGATAGTTTGTGTTCTATGTATATATTGTGATTTTGTCAACGGGCAAGAATCAAAAGTCCAGTATATCTGTCAAGCCAACTTGTCTGTTTTTTGTGTAATCCCACAGACCTCATTCTATGGGGCAGTTCTACAATATATACTGGATGATTGTAATTAAAGTATTCCTATTCCATGCCTGCTAGAGATTTATTTAGTAGTCCAAATGCAATTAAATCTGATAATCTTTTGCATGTTCTAAAATATCACATTTTGATTAAAAAATTAGTATAAAAAATGACCATATAAACACTTTTGGCACTGATGCTACAAACTTTACTTATACAACATACTCTTACTATACAGAGATCTTAATGATACAAGGGATACTGCTAAATGTGATCCCTATTCTAAAAGTGTAAAATCTGAACACAATGAACAGAGAGAAGAGAAGAGAGCGACTATCCAACAATTGACCACAATTAATTCTCTGTGAAATGCTTCTCACATGGTGTGATATCAATTTTCAAGGTTGCCAAATTTGCAGCATGTCCTTAATAAATCATATCTTTTAAGTGTTCCACAACCAAATGGATTAAGATCCATAGACTAGGGTAGCCAGGTGGTAGAAAATGCATTACTAATCACTCTGTTTTCAATAAATATCATATAAACTGTTGTATGAAATATCCAATATCTGAAAGTGCTCCATTGCATGAAAGTGATTGATTTGAGGCATTGTTGCTGTTGCAGTTGGGATATGACAAAAGTGTTGAGGCATATGTGGGTTATCAAAGAACATGTTACAGGCCCATTGAAATTAATTTTTTCAAAAAAAGAACAATCCAAGGAAAAACGTGACTGTAAATCTACATAAAACTAACTTTTGGCAAGTGCAGTAATGTTGCTGGAAAACATAAGGGTTTTCAGTGTTCAATTTGTTTATATATATATATATATATTTCTTGTATAATTTAAAATTTTGATAATTCTAAGGTCGTATACTGATATTTAACTACGTTCTATTATGTAATTTAGCAGAAACATGTTTAAAAAACGCATTATATGTGAACCTTCGGAAACTCGTGGTCGATGAAGATTTGAATTGACGCGGGAATGTTTTCGTTTAGAGGCGGTAGCGCCACCTTACCACGTGACTTTGCGACCCAAATGTCGGAAGTTACGAGCCAGCGAACGCATCCAGTGTTCGTCATGTCGGTATCTAAAGACAAGGAACAGAAGAGCGAGTGTCGAGCCAGCGATTTCGCTTCAAAAGAAGAGAAGCTGATTCAGTCAACTCTCGATAACAAACCAGATAAAGAAGATGCAGTGAAAAAAACGGAGAATGGAACCAATCCAAATCAGTCGGCGACTGCAGGGGAGCAACCAGTCGGATCTAGGAACGAACGAGAGAAACAGACGACGTCAAAATCGACCATCATTAGGACAGTTGTTTCTGCTGTGCCAGTTGTAGACCATTGCGATAAACCCATGTCGAAGTATGAGATTGTGACGGTCAGGGAACGGCATGGCTTTTTCAGGAAAGCTATCCCCCTCATGCCCGTTTCTCTATCCGTTTTCCTTTGCATCCTAAACGTTATAACGCCAGGAATCGGTGAGTAAATAATCATTTTTCTTCTTAAAAATTATCTTCGTACTCTAAAGAAATTTTTAGACTTGCCAAAGTCGAAACCGTTTGGCTCGGTTATTTGTGCCATTGTTTGGAACGCTTAAAGTTTCCATTACGAAATGTTACATCCGAGATCAGAAACCTATTGTTTAATGCATTCCCTTAGACTAAATTATTTCTAAGTATGCCAATAGAGGTGTATGATTCAGTTAGATACCTGTTGCAAATCTGTTGCCATCGTCACGTTCACGCTCGTTAGTCCACCTCTTTAAAAGGATTAAGCTTAACTTCATAATAAAAAATATCTTTGCTTTTAATTATATTATTAATAAAAACAATATAAAACATTAACTATTAGGAATATTATAGTTTTAAACAATATTGTAATAATTAATGTTTTAAAATTTTTTCGTTGAAATTATTTATAAACAGAATAAAATGCAAAGTATTACAGTCCATATCATTTAATTTCAATTATTTTTTTAATAAAATAAAAATTTAAACAGAATTTTTAAAAAGTTTTTATAAATTTTAAATATATTTAGAATTATAATTTAACTGAAAAACTTAAATGAAAACGAGGGGAAAATATTTAAATTAAAATTTTTATTTTTATCCGCCATTTCCTAGTCGAAACGAATTTACGAATTTGATGTGATCATTTTCTATAGCTACATTTTAGGTTTTGATCGTTACCAATGCTTTCAGAAAAAAAAATTTAATAAAAATATTATCGCAAATATATCTTATTTTTTAAAATATTCTGCCATTTAATCACGATGTTTGTTTTATGTCTCCTTCAAATGCAACATCCATTATGTTGTAAAGTATAGCGGCTGAGAAGTTTTTCGAAATACCGTTAAAATCGAAAAAAGTTCGTATCGGAAGATTTTTGTTTAATTAACCGGAGGACGTAAACTATATTTAGAAATGTTTATTAACTGAGAATATATTATCTGTAGATTGGCCAGTGAACTGTGTTTTGATAGATAAGCTAGAATATCGAAAAATAATCGCGAGGAAGCGAGTTATTTTTCAATCTTACAACTAAACTGTTGCAAAGGGACATACATGAGACTGCATTTCCTATTGTCTGACGAATCTTGGCAGCGATCTCATCTGCTTTTGTGTTCATCCAACTGTTTTAGGGATAGATTGAGCTCTGCCAGACTACTTCAACAGTTTTCACTTTTGAAGTTGCTCTGTATCTATTTAAAGAATCACAATGACTTAGTTTCGGAAGTGGAGTTCTTACATTGACTCATTAAAATAGTTAAAATTTATATTATATAAAAACGAATATTTTTCATACTCTGAACGAGCGCGAATTTTAACTAATATTCACGTGAGGTTATCGTCGAATTTTTTACACCCTTTATCACTACAATATTTAAATTTTTGTGACCCTTTTTTTGTATCGCGTGATGTTTATTTTAATGTATGCGACAATAAATCGACAGATCTTCGGTCTACAAAACATTGATCGAGATATAACATCAAATATTATAGGTTATTTTAGTCGCAGTTTCTTGCATATTACTCGAATAAACACAGTTATTTGAAATATTTCTTTACTGAATGTAAAAATTATATCAAAACCAAGTTTCCAATTACTTACTATTATAAGTCGCAAGTAATTTAAATTAAACTTCGAATTCGCATAGTTATATTTTCGTGTAGAAATAGCTTTTACATTTACAGATAATTATGCTTTACAGAAATTAGGAAAATAAATTTAAGTGAAATCATGTGATCACTTTGGCACATGACAACCAAGGTCGGATGACGTCATAAATACGATATTTGTAGCAACCTCCTGTTTATATTGTGCATCTAACAAACAAACTGTTTTAGTTTTTTTTTCCGCCTTTCTGTTCCTTCGAATACAGACCTAGTTTATTCTAAATAGGTACAGGTTTTAGCCTAATAGTTAGGCCTTTATTTCCTATTCAAGAATATCGAGTCGTTGCAGTTGCGATGTATCGCGTATCAACTTTAAATATTTATTGCAACTTATAGTTATTTATTTATTACATAATTTAAGTCCTTTTATTATGCATGATTTCGTTTATCAGATTGTTTCTACATACTTAAATATATGTTTATTTACAAAAAATATGCAACACGTAGGCTATATAACTTACTTAGCGTAAATATATGCTTCAAAAATAAATTACACGAATATTTATGTTCATAACTAAAAAACATAAGAATATAAAATATTTTTTGTGCAATAAGAGAAAATAGTAACCACTAGTACTATCTTATATTCATTGTTATCTATATTCTCGATATAAGATAGTTAATAATAGAAAACAGGAATGTTTCGGCTTCTAGTTAAATGTACGCGAAATTATTATACGAAACTATTATATATTAATTAAATGTATTCGACGAAATTGCATACTTTTATCAGATAGCGACCGAAACTTATAGTTTGGATTAATAACTTTCTTCGTTATTTTTACTTATAAAGTAAGGAATAGGAATTTTAATGGAAATATTAATGTTTGTAAGCATTTATACAACGCTAAATAATGCATTTAAGCGTTGATTATAAATTTAATTAAAATTTGGTGGAATCGCTTTTACCGTATTGTTATATTGTCGGCTCGTATAAATCCTAAACTTTTACATATATAATTTGATTTATTCATCTTTATTTCTAATATAAAAATAACAATATTCGCTTTCTAAAATAAATAATTATAATCTATAATTTTATTTATTTTTCTTATACAACGTCAACGTCAACGTCAACGTCAACGCAAATCGACAATTAATGTCTCCCTCCGTTGAACAAACCCGAATCAAAAATAAAGTACAAGAATAATACAATAAAACAAACAAAAGTTACGATACTTATTCTTTCCACAATATCATTAATTAAATCTTTTATTTATTAATGAGATAATATGAACTATTTGTTAATTCTGTGGGCCATATACTGTATATACAGTTAAATGAAAATATATATTTAAATTATTTCTGTCGCTATATTAATTACATTGTAATAAGTTAAAATTTTAATTTATATAAATTTATTCACCGTAACTGCGATCGATATTAATTTAAGGTATCGTTAAAATATTAAGATAAATATATTTAATATCATTTCCATATCAATCTTTTTCTGACACGTCTTACCACTTATGTGGCGTTGCTCCTAATAATTAACTCTTCATTCGAGCCTTTACCGTTCTTCTTGGCGAAATATCAAAATCAACGTGTTTTAAGCTATCGTTTCTAGATAATTTGATGATTTATCATCTATGTATGAAAGGGTGTTTTATTACCAAGTCTTTTTTATATATATAATTTAAAATGAAACACGATAAACCGAACTATAATTTGTACTATACAAATCTCTAAGTTTTAAACTATTGTTTTCAAACATGATTTACTTAACTTCGATCTTTCTATCGCTTGTTTGTCGACGATATACACGCTATTTGGTTTTTCTCCGCCCTATTTAACAAGAGAAAGTGTTCTTCCCGCTCATTTGGAACTATTACATCCATAGGAGTCGTGCAAGGTCGTACGACTCGGGTTTCTATCCAATATTTTGGGAACAGCAGCCAAGGGCGCGTTCCTTTGCGAAACAATATAAGCTCGATTTATTAGAGGATAATCTCTACATAATAATGTATAAAGTCTCTTGGGCACTTTTTTAATTCTGTGCTTTAAATATTTTTCACTTTGATGCACAAACTTGTTTTTAAAGTCCGTGTGTATTTTAATCGTCATCACTTCGCGTAGAAGCGTGTATTTCTTTAATTTTAAAATTGAAAAAATTAGCATAATTTTGTAAATACTTGCTTTCATTAAATAAAGAAAAACAAATTAACTGTAACGCGAAGCAAATTCTTATCTGTATTTAACAATAAAAAGCCCTTGTTTAGCAATAAGCAAAAAGTCATAGATATCAAGATTTTTGCTTATAATTAATTATATTAATGATATAAAGAAAAATTAAATTAAAAAATTGCAGTCCAGTCAATGTTAAAAAGTGTATTTAAGTTGAAAGAAATGAATAAGTTTATCAGTTTCAATAAACAAAATTAAATACAAATAATTCTAAAATATAAGTTTAATTTTTCTCTTATTTTTTAAAATTGCCTGTATGATTTATTGGAAAGATACAATAATTCTGTCTATTTTAATCATTAAAATTTTAAAAATTAGTATAAAATTATATTCCATAAATATATTGTATTATAACCTTTTACAATATCAGTAACTTCAATTTAAAATACAAATACAGTGTTCTTTACAATGATCAATAATCATCATATTTCTTTACTACAGTAATCCTAAGCATAGATATAACTAGTTTATTATAATTTTTAAAATGGCAATATCTAAATTGATTTATTTGTAAGGACGAAAATAGCCCATTATTAAATATTTAAAAAGTTTATAAGTATTTCAGCTTTAAAAAACTATAATTGAGATGAGTAAGACTTTTGAAGTAATACAAAATTATATATTTGTAAAAATAATATAAACTCAAAATGTTTTAATTAAGTTTATTTATACGGAATTTCTAATAGCTGAGATATTTTAAATATATTTTGTGTGCTAAAAATAAAAACATCATTGTAAGAAAAGTGAGACTTAGTTTCAAAGATGCGTAATACCGTACTCATATCGTATTATTGTTAAACAAAAGGTGTTGCGAGATTCGTAGCTTTTTATTAACACGAAAATATCGATTTATAAGAAACTCATTTCTAAATTGTTCGGAAATAATATATCCGTCTGTCTCTTATTCGCGGTGGTAAATTCGTTTCAAAGCCTAGTAAATTCAAAGTTTCGTTGATAATTTTATAAAGTGAAGGGCGTTTTCGGTTTTCTTCTAACAGGTGGCGCCATGCGTGGCATTGGACGCCAAATTTTGTTATTTTTTTGTTAAATTTCGTTTTACATTTTTCCATAAACGGAAACTCGTTAATAAACGAACTTAGATATTTCACTGTCATATG